TTGGATAAGAGGTTGTTGCAAATCTTGTCCTTGGTTTCAAATACGTGTTAGTGACTTTAAACATTTGAAATTTTGGCTAAATTGTTGTAAGAAATAATTGTTGGATGCCAAGAGCTAATGATTGATGAAGCTTTGGTCGTTTGAATACATTTTACAAAAGTTGGAATCTTGATGGGATTGTGTTGGATGCCTTGGACTTATTTTGTTCAAATTCCGATTTGAAATGGATTTATCGAGACCTAGGGCTAATGATTGACGAAGTCCTAGTGAGATTGCTGGTTGAAATATAATTTTGCTGTAGTGGCCAACTGGGATACAATGTGCGTGTGAACTGAAATCGTGAAGTCCATTTTGGTCCTGTGAACTTGAGTATTTTTAAATCAAGCTACGTGAATATATTTTGCCCTAGTATTGAACTACAAAATTTAGTATAGCACGATAATGTTAGAAATTCAAGTGTCGGGAATTTTTAAAACCTTGCAGACTAGTTATTTCTTTCTTTGGCTTAAACTAGCCTTATTATTTCTAGAAAATGATTGCACTAGTTTTTAAAACCCTAGGTATTATTTTATTTTATTTTCTTTTCTTAAAAATTGTCCCTGACTAGTTGTTCTAGAGGAAAATTGTCAAAAACACGAGATTTTAATAATTTTAACTAAAAAGTATAGAAAACTTGCTCGGCAAGAAAACTTACTTCAAGTAAATTAGATTTAGTTGCACCTCTAGAAAGAAAAGTATTTTTAAGGAAACTATACGAAATATTTTTCTACTTTTACTAGTTTTAACTTTAAGTGGATTGTCGATTTTTATTTCGAGAAAATAAACTAGTCATATACTAGATAATTTTTCATATACGTAAACCAAGAACTTGTATAGTAAAACTTATAGTTTTAAAACTTGGTTTTCTAGGATTTAGCGAGGACGCGGATTTCGATTCCCACCTTGACCTGTGACTTCACTTTTGGTGAGTGTCCCTGCTTGTTCTATGCTTATTTGGTTAAAGTGCTTTCTTGACTCGATACGTGATAATTTGGAAAATGGTTTCTGATCCATCGAAGTGAACAGTGTGTACTTTATCACACTAGCCTTTCGAGTGGTGACTTGCTTGAAATGTTTTTGTGAATATCTTGCTCGCACTTGCTAAGTACTGAGTAGGGGAATGTACCACACCTGCGGGTGGGAGAGCCTCTTATCCTATCTCAAGTACTAAATCACCAGGCAGGGGAATGTACCACACCTTAGGGTGGGAGGGCCTCTTATCCTGACCTGGTAACTACGTGTTGTGACGTCGTTGGGTGAATCTCTCGACTAGTTTATAAAAAGGTATACTCGAGTATTACCATTCTCATTCGTGATTGGCGTGCGGGTCCGGTAAAGGGGTATGATTGGTGGTCGGAGTTAAGAAAAAAAAATGAAAAGATCTACATGGACCGTAAGTAGTGAAAGTTGACGGAGGGTCAACTACGGTAAATTTTGATCAAGCGTGGAGAATGGCTCCTGAGAGCCCCTGTATCCTACCTTGTGCTGTTATACGCTTTCCTAATTGTTTAATTTTGTTGAAATTATTACTCGCAATTTGATTTATGTGATTGCATGTTTCGGGGCACCACTGAGTTTTAGCTCACCCCACGTTATTTGTTTTCCTTGACAGGTCCTGGCACTTGAGAAAGATTTGAACTCTACTTTTACTTTGTATGGTTGTAATTCGTATTAAACAATGTAGCTTTTGTTTAGGGTTGCCACTTGAAGCTGGAAAAGTGCAAACCCTAGATTGGTTATGTGGCTTGTATGAATTTGTTACTTGGCTTGTACGAATGTATTTGAATTGTATGTTTTGTTTCATGGTTTGTAATCGGGAAGGTATCCTAAGAATCGACGATTACCTATCTTATAGTGCTGTTATCTCTGAAGTTAATGTGGTTTTAGTTATCGGCCTATTTGGAGGGAAACGATGTTGTAATAGATTAGGTTATACTTCGGAAGGATTTTACTAGCTTGCTTGCGTGAGTCCTGGCGAGAGTTAGGCAGACGGCCCGCCAACCCTCTGGTTCGCCTTAGGGGAAAGTGGGGTCGCCACAATATCAAGGCTAGAAATTCTCATTTCAAGGCTGGAAAATTATAAATCAAAGCTGGAAAATTCAATCAACTTCACAAACCCATGAAATCTTCCATAAAACTTCCATATTCAAGTCATATATCTATTAAAATACAAGATAAGAAAGAGAAGGGAAGTTTCTTAGCTTGATACCTTCAAACCCCAAAGAGAAAATGCAAAACTAAAGCTTTCTTTCCTAAATCACTCCACTACAAGTCTTCTTGCTCCCTTGTTGCAACTTTCTTCGGATTAGATTTGGATTTTTTGTTTATTTCTTCACTAAATCAAGCCAAAATCAAGATGAAAATTGAAGTTTTTCCCTCTCTTTTTCTCTCTCTTTTGGTCAGCCAAGAAGGAAGAAAAGTGAAGGAATTTTTGCTAAATGAAAGATAAAGATGGAAGAAAAGTCTTGGTCAAGAAGTCTTGGATCAATGACAAGTGTCGCGATGAAGTTCAAATCTTATCTCTTTGTCCCTTTTAGTCTCTAATTACTAATTTATATTCCTCTAATACACTCTTAACACTTCTAATCATATAACCCTTCTAACACTACACCCGTTCTTATCCACCAAATTTATTATGCACTTCACTAATTAGTCACACTACCACAAGGTACTACGAAACTTAACATGCACCAAATTATATAAGAAAAAAATAAAAGTCTCGACTCAATCATTAAAGTATTTACAAAATTAAGGCAAATAAATTAGTCTAAAAGAAATAGAAATTAATTTTTAGTTTAGTTTTTTAAGGAAATAAGGAAAATTATAAGAAGAATATAAAATAATTTTCAAGTCCTCATAATTTACTTTTATAAATAACACCAACTATAGGTGCATTATTTCATGAAGTATTTCTTTTAATTTATGACTTTAACTATTAATCCATATTGACATGATTTTGATTTTTTTTTCCGGAAACGTTAACTTTTCATTGATGATGTGCAAGAACTATACACTTAGTGAGCAAAAGGCTCTCAAAGAGCTATACAAGTGCATTGAAGCACTGAGGGTTGATCCACTCCTCATCAAAAGGTATGCTTAGAGCACCCACTCCTCATCAAACGTTAACTTTTTATTGATATGGTTTTGATTGAAATTTACTTATACCACACTACATAAATGAATAGTACAAACGGTGACATATAAGAGATCAAATTTGCGATAACTCCGAATATAGAGACCAAAATAATTGTTTTTAATGGTGCATATGTTGTGCAAAAAGTTAACTCTTTTACAATCCTTCCAATTTCCCGTTAGAAGTCCTTTATACACATAAACACACACTGATACATAAACGACCAAATTGGCCATCACTTCAAGGATAAAGGACCAAAATGGCTGTTGTCACTTTACAAAACGTTATGGGGATAAATATTATCTAATCTAGCATTCTTTTGCAACTACATGAACTCATATCGTGGAAACCTTTATGTATGGAAGGGAGATCATATTGAGTTTTACAAGGAAAGCTGTCACTTTATTCATGCGACAATTAGATTTTTTACATCCACATATTCAACTGCAAATTGGAATTAGTGGCCCATATTAGACTATAGGTAATATGGCCAGACAAATTTGGGGCCTTGATTTCAAATTCCAATTGTTTGTTTTTATTTGTTTGCGTATTGTTTTTTATTTGTTTGTCTATTGGTTTAAGCAATTCAAATTAGATCATATCAATCGTGATCCTATTTCAGTTGCCAATTGGCTTCTATTCTACATCTTTGACTATATATTACATAGGCTCTGGATCCATTTATGACCAAATAAATCACAACTTCAGAAAGAACGTCAATGTGACACGTCATAAAAGTGAACCCGTGTCCATAAGGAGAACCAATTGGTATCTATTAACAAAGCACTTTGTAGGCTTTTAGGTTAGTGACATTAGAAACCCATCTTTTGTTTGTAAAACTTCACTTCCTTCATTCTATTTTGAAAAAAAAATAAAATTACAACAAAGATGGAGCCATTATAAAAAATTAGAGTGTGACTATCTATCATAGTCATATTGTTGTTCAAAACTATGTAGGCTTTTAGGTTAGTGACATTAGAAATCCATCTTTTGTTTGTAAAACTTCACTTCATTCTATTTTGAAAAAAAAATTACAATAAAGATGAAGCCATTATAAAAAATTAGAGTGTGACTATCTATCATAGTCATGTTGTTGTTTAAAACTATTTTATAGGGAAATTACATTTTAGGTCTAAAATATTCAAGGCAATTACTACAATATGGTCCCAAATGTTTCATAAATATCATATTTTGGTAAAATTTGGGGGCTAGATTGGTCAACATCCCAACTACTAGAAATCAAAAGAGCAAATTGTGTGAAATGTTACTAAACTATTGCGAGGTGCCGGTTATAGTCACTAAAATCTTTTATTAGCCAAAAATGTCACTGAACTAGTAAATCTGTACCATTTTGGTCACTCCGTGTACTTATGCCGTTAGGAGAGACGGAAAGTAACTTTTTGAGGGACAATTTCATGTACATCTTTGAGTACCCAATAAGGTAAACAGTACCGATCCCCCCATTCCCCTCAATATCCTTGCACACCCCATCTCCCACTCCCAAGCTTGCATGTTAACAAACATCAATTGGTGGGCTTTTCTGGGTTTTTTTGCTCAGATCTGTACTTGTATTCTTTCTTTAGGGTTGGTTTTTGCTCACTTAATCCTCCTCCTGATTTCTTTGGAAAAAAATTGCATCTACCGGCGACCACACCGACCACTTTTTGTGCCTCTTTCTTGTGCCCATTTCTATTTAATACTCTCTTTTCCCATTGCTGCATAAAATTATTTGCCAAACCCATCTGCTTGTGGTACCACACTACGATTGCAACATCTTTGATGTTCTTTTCTCTTTGGGCGTAATTATCAAGGCGATCGAAAAGAAAAAATGGTGAGAGAGAAGATCAAAATCAAGAAAATCGATAACATCACGGCAAGGCAGGTGACTTTCTCCAAGAGGAGACGAGGGCTTTTCAAGAAAGCTGAAGAGCTTGCTGTTTTGTGTGATGCTGATGTTGCCCTCATAATCTTCTCAGCCATTGGCAAGCTCTTCGAGTTCACTAGCTCAAGGTAAATCTAACCCTACACTATATAATCATATGGTATACCAGTAACTTTTTAATGCAAAGAAATTGCAGGTCGGAGTTCTTTCCTTGGGTCTTCCTCCAATGAAGCTTCAACACATTCCAGCAAATTGCAACTGCTTATATTGCTTCTCCTACTCCATATTTGAGGACAAATCTATTAGAGGATAAGGTTTTGTACTTTCTAATTGAACTTACGAGTTGTCTGACACATTTGAGAGCAATTTATGTTGGAGAGCTTTAAGGAAAAGGCTGTGCAGACGAAATTGCCCCTCAAAAAGTTATTTTTTGTCTCTCCTAACTGCATAAGTACACGGAGTGATCAAAACGGTACAGATTTACTAGTTCAGTGATATTTTTGACTAATAAAAATGTTTAGTGACCAGAACCGGCACCTCGCAGTAGTTTAGTGACATTTTGCGCAATTTGCTCAAATCAAAACAATCATACTACCAGCAATTTGCCACCAAAATGAACGTGCATTTGACTATCCAACAATTTGTTAATTGTCCTTCATTAATCACAACAGAGTTGTTGACAAACAAAGGCCCTATTTCAATATTGAGTTTTTTTGGTGTTTATCTAATATTTTCTTGTAACTTACTGTAAAAGTTGTAAAAAAAAAACTTTTGAGCTGTATAAAACTTTTCTTTTTCTTTCCTTTTCTCTTCTTCTCCTCTACCCGATTGCTCTTTCCCATCCCTACTCCTTACTGCAAGCCGCTGGTCATTACTTTTTTTTTCTCTCCCTCCTTCTCCTTCTTCATTCTCTCTCCTTCTTCTTCTCTCCTCTCTCCCTCCCCTCCCTCTCCTTATTCTCCTTCCTTCTTCCTTGTCACATCCTCTCCTATTCTCCTACCTCGTTCCCTCCCATCACACTTTCCTTTCTCCCCGACGCGATTTAGTCATAGTCACTTGGCCAGATCGTACTGAGGGAGGGAGAAGGTGGAGGAGAGAAGTGGTAGAAGGTGGTGGGAGAGAGGGGAGGAGGAGAAGCAAGAGAGCAAGGGTAGAAGGAGAGGGAGGGAGGGAGGAGGAAAGAGGAAAAAAAAAGAAAGCCAGAGCCGGCAGAGGTGCCGGTCGAAACTGGCTGACAACGAAGGTGGTGGTAGTGAGGTTGGGGAAGAAACAAGATAAAAGGAAAGAAGTGAAAATTTTTTGTGTGTTTTTGGGTATTTTGAGGTTTATATTTTTAAAAATTTAAGAATTTTTTGAGGTTACTAATTGACAGTTTTCCTGCAAGCGCATAGAGTCAATCATAATAATAATTAACCTGGAGTATTTCAGGGTCGAACTCACAACAACGAGTTAATTTTCTACTCTAATTATTCTAAAAAAGTAACAAAATTTAAATTCAAGGAGTTGAATTTTTTGACTAAGCAATAAAATAATAATCAATGCAAATAAGTAGTTGTAAGGATAGAAGACAACTTAAGAGAGGGGTAAATTAGGTAATTTAAAAAATAATCAAGTTATGAGACACTTTTTGGCTCAATATGAAATTTACCCTCTTTTCTAGATGACCACACAATGAACAATTGATCAAAAAAGCAAGATTGCTCAGGAGTAGAAGAGATAATCAATTAAGAATCACAAGACAGTAAGTAGCAAGAAAGGAATAGTAAACCAATTTACTTCCAAACACCTCTTGAGCTTGAGTAATCCTTTATAGAGTAAGTCTCTTCAAGTTGATCAAATACAACCAATCTTTGTGTACAAAGGAAGGATCACTTCATCCTTACCTCAAGCAACACTTGGTCAAGGTATGAAGTTTTACTATCACTCGGATAACCCTCACAAAGCTACATTATTGAAGTATTTATCTCACACAAGAAAAGCTTATACAAGATTCACACAACTAAGAGTACAAATCTTCCTTATAGAGTATTTTCTCACTAAAATCACTCTTGATCTTTTGTTAACAATCAAATTGGCAGCGGCTCTTTACTCGCTTGGACGACATCGAATATTGGTTGGGACGGATGGACACGCACTTGGAGCAGATTGAATATCATCTAGGCATTCCTCTACCTCATGATAGCGATGAAGACAAAGCCAATGATTGAAGCTGCACCTTTGGATGACTCTTGTTTTTGTTCCCTGTTTTCTTGTCATTTTTCAGCTTTTGTTTGAAGGGTGTTTAACTTGCACTTTTTCTTTTACATTTAATCTTTTGGACAGTGTTAGTTGATGTTGTGTCTTTTGGCAAAGGTTCGTGACTCATGGTTGATCCGGATCTCAGCCATTGCACTGGAGAGTACTTCTTTCTATCTTTTGTTGTTTTTCTTTCCCTACATATTGAGGACAATGTGTATTTTAAGTATGGGGGAGGAAATATGTGGTACTTGTAGTATTTTTTGTATTTATTGCTTGGACTTGTGATTTGGAATATGAATTGCACTTGAATCTTGTCAATCTTGGGTTTGTTGGCAAAGAGTTTTGTCCAGTTTTAAGGGCAAATTCTATCAAAATTTTTTCAAAATTTTGTCCAAAATTATAAAATTACCCCAAAAGCTTTCAAATTTTTTCAATTTTATTAAAGGGCAGCAAGTTCCACACCATTAGTAATTCAAATTCCTTCTACTGTTGAGCTAAATATATATGACTTAAAAATTTCTTTTCTCATTTAATTTGGAAACGACTATTATGTGATTATAATTTGTATATTTATAGGAAAGTATATCTTGTAAAATGGAGCAAATTATGCCTACATTTTGTATATTTGATGAAATTTCTTCTCTTTACTTGATTTTATAAGTTAAGTGATAAATATGGTCAATAATTGCAATACTCTTCTCATGATTATGCTTTTGAGGGACTAATTATTATCTTCATTTCTAAAAAAAAAAGTAAGTAAAAAAGCAAAAAAAAATAAACAAATGTCGACTCCAATGGTTCTTGTGCTTAATAACCGGGAGTTTTCATCTACAAATATCGACTTTCGCGTAAAACGGTACTTGAATTAAAAGTATGCAAGGCAACTTGAGTATGTGAAATATTGAGTAACCAGCGATCTTCATCTAAAAATGTCGATCTTCGCGTCAAAAAGTACTTTCACAGCTTGAGTTTTAAATCGAATAAGAAGATGATCATGAGTTTAGAAAATATTTTATTGACTATAGGTGTTACTTGCTTGTGAAGTTGGGTAAGGACGAGAAATTGAGTTGAATTAGTTAAAATTATGGTATAATTGACTCTTTTTTACTTGATATTATTAGTAATTGAGTTTAATTGAGTAATTGTATAATAGTTATTTACCTTATTTTTGAGGAAATGAAGCTGAATTGTGCACATATGTTTATTTTCAAAATGTTGGATCATTGTTGGTTTGTATTTCTAATTGATTGAGGACAAGCAATGGTTCAAGTGTGGAAAAATTTGATAAGTATATATTTTACGTGTTTTATTAGTTAGTTTTGGTGTGTTTTAATCATTTTTATAGCTAATTAGCTAGGGTTTTAGTGAAAATACACATTTTGTGATTTGAGTGGTAAAAATTACATTTCTATGGATTTTAATGGTAAAAACTTCATGTTTTTATAAGTTTAATAATTCAATCATCAAATGGCATGAATTAAGAAGATAATTGGATGATTGATGATGGTTTGAAGTGATAAAAAGAAGACATGAAGTGCAAAATAATCAAAGGAAGAAATGCAAGTTTTCTAGCTCTGACACATTATAGTATTTGGGCTATATCTTGAGTTACACACAAAGGATTGAGGTGATTCTTACACCATTTTGATAAGAGATATATCTACATTTGATAAGAAGACATCAAAATCCAATTCAGTCATTTTCCTTGTCAAAAAGTCGAAATACAGAAATGCATTTGCATGGTCAAAAACTGAAATAGAGCTCTGATCAGTCGTAGGTATTTTGGTCATTTCTCGGTCCACATAACTCCAAATTGAATGATTCTTGAAGTATTGGAAAGCTAATGTAAAGGGCTACAACTTTGATTTTTTGACAAGAGCTAGCTTGCCCTCCATCATCAAGAAAATAGCAGTTGAATTGGTGCCAAATTACAAAAGTGCAAACGCGACCTCATGAATACGCGAGTTGAAATCGCGTATTCCAAGGTCGCGTATTGTAGTCAGAATTCTGCAACTTGCTCAGCCACTTACTCTATTTTCACACTACTTTCCAACTCTACTACAGACAAGAATTTCGGCTGCACATGTTCAAGGGACCTTTTGGAAAAGAAAATGAGCTTTATGTCTTGTCTAAAAAAATCACTTTTTGGCTCTCTTAACACTAGAGATGTAAGAGTCATAAAAAAAAAGAGATTAGGGCATTAGAAGGGTTATCATCAAATTTTAGCATTAGAACTTAGCTTTAGTCTTGTTTTGTTCTCTCTAACTCGAACTTTGTGAGAACAATTGGAGACTTTATTGTACAACTCATTTTGTTGAAAAAATAGAAGATCATTAGGAGCTTTTTCACTTCTTGGCTAAGCTTTCTTTATCTATCTTTTTACTTGTGATTCAATATGTGTTCATGCAATGAAACTATGTTCTTTCTTGTCATTTATCATATGAGTAGCTAAATTCTTAAATCTAGGGAGTAGATGAAACTTTTGGCTACATAATATGAAGTGAAGGAAACAAGAGTAGATCTAGTTATTCACCATGAGAATAGAGCAAACTAGTTTAGTTTAAACCATTTCATCATGAGAATGAGATTTGATGATATTGGAAATGAATGCCTAGTTAAACAAGAGTTGTAACAAGAGGTAAATCTATTTATTTGTATCTTTGATGCCATAAGTGAAATCTACATCCCTAAACTCAAGTATTTAGTGAATTTTCTCTATTGTTATCTTGCAAGTTATCTAGTTAAGACTAGTTAGATAGTAATAATTATCATTTCTCTTGCTTTAGTTGATTATTAGTTTAAATAATAGAGTAAGTAAGGTTTTAGTACTTGTAAAGTTGCTCCCTGCGGGATCTACCTGATATTTGCCCTAAACTTCTAAATTGACCTGTATACTTGCAGTTAAAAAGGGTATATTTTGGAATTAAACTTGTACTCATATCAAAAACTTGCCAAGAATCACTTGAGTAGGCACAAGGTTGGCAAACTTCAATTTCCTGAAAAATGATAGGGGCATCAAATTAACACTAGATCCAAGATCACACAAACATTTATCAACAAGAAGATGTTCAAATTGACAAGGCACAGCAAAACTCCCTAGATCTTTATCTTGATTGGAAGATGATTTTGAAGCACTACACTGCATTCCTCAGTAAGAGACATCTCTACAAAGTCCTTTAATTTCTTTTTATTAGACACTATCTCCTTTAAGAACTTTGCATAAGAAGAGATATTTGCCAAAACTTCAGAAAAAGGCATATTGACTTGTAACTTCTTAAGCATATTCACGAACTTCTGATACATATCATCAGTTGCCTTCTTCTTAAGCCGTTGCAGGAAGGAGATAGGTTGCACGTAAGTTTTAACTTTAGGCACCTTTAGACGTTGATCATCTTCACCCTTTTTACCCAAGCCATTATGCTCATCCTCAATTTTTTCACTTTCAACACCACTTTAACCTTATTTTTCTTCTCAAGTTCCGGCTTTACTTTAACTTTTTGGATCATCCAACACTTTTCCTGAGCAAAGGGTTATTCCCATTGTAGCTTCTTTAGGATTCACCTCAGGGTATTAGGCAATTTACCTTGCCCCCTCTTAGTCATTGCTTTCACCAATTGGCCAAATTGTTTCTCCAAACTTTGAATAGAAGCTTGTTGAGATTGAGTTATTTGCTCCAGTTTCTGCATGTATTGCAACATCATATTTTCAACACTTAGCTTCTTTTCTCGAGTTGGCGAAGGCAGATATTGAGATCCCTGCAGCTAACTTGGGAACCCAAGTGGTCCCATAGTGGTGATTTCTTGATATCTCTATGATAAATTAGGGACATTTCTCCATCCCTTATTACACGTATTAGAGAAGAGATCATTTATTTGAGAACATGGCTCTAAAGATTGAGTTTCACCTTTTAGGAACAATTGCAACTGATGCATCTGATGACTTAATTCGACGACTTGTGAACCTAAATCCTTAGGAGTAGACACTTCATGGACACTTGTTCTTTTATCTCGACTTGCCTTTTGTTGAGAGTTACTAGCAAGTAACTCAAATATTGCAACCAATTCTTACGGAGTTCTTATCACCAATGTACCCTCCTGTTGCAAAATCTACCATGTTTTGAGTCGTGAAAGTCAGCCCATCATAGAAAAACTGCACTTGTAGAGCTAGCGGATACTGGTGATGAGGACATTGAGCAAGTAGCAACTTAAATCGTTCCCAAACTTCGTAAATGGGCTCTCCCTCCATTTGAGTAAAGGAACAAATTTTGTTCCTTAGATCAATAGTTTTTTGTGGAGAGTAGTACTTAGTCATAAAGATATTGTAAACATCTTTCCAAGTTCCCAAGGATCCCTCAGGTAAGTTTAGTAGCCTAGCACGGTCCTTGAGGCAGTAGGGAAAACCACCTCATCCGTAGATCATCTTCTGATATCCCGCTCAATGGAAAAGTCTGCATCACCGAGTAAAGTTCTCGAATAAAAGATAGTTGGTCTTTGTTAGGTAGACCATGAAAAATAGGATGCATATTAAAATGCTAGGTCTTGAGCTCATAATTCCTAACCTCATCACTTAGCCAGATACTATGTGGGGAAGCTGCTATGTAAACATTAAAAAAGAAAGGGAAATAAGCAAAACTCTGCCTTTTTTATTTTCCCACACACAGAATATACTTAAAAGGTAGACATTTATAGGACAATTCTATCACAATTCTGCCACAACTTAAGGTAACAGAACCATGATTTTAGGGATTACGTAATCAACTCATATCCTATCTTTTATTTTAGTTAATCTATTCAAACTTGATTGATTATAAGCAATAAAATTTCATAATCATGGGAGATAATATCTCCCATAATCATGGGAGATAATATCTTCGACACCCCCCTCAAGTTGGTGTGTATATATTTATCATGCCCAACTTGCTTGTAAGAAGTTCAAAATTTGGTCTAGAGAGTCCTTTGGTGAGGATGTCAGCTATTTGCTGAGCTGATGGAATGAATGGCAGGCAAATAATTCATCTATCAAGTTTCTCTTTTATGAAGTGGCGGTCAATCTCGATATGTTTGGTTCGATCATGTTGCACGGGATTGTGAGCTATGCTAATTGCCGCCTGGTTATCACAATAGAGCCTCATTGGAAGTTCATTAGGTCTTTTCAGCTATAATATCTCACACACACTAATAAGAGTATATTTTACGCATTTTTAGTTTATTTTATTAGTTGATTTTGGTGTGTTTTATTTAGTTTTATAGTTAATTAACTAGGATTTTTGTGAAAATGCACATTTTGTGGTTTAAGTGGCAAAAATTGCATTTCTATGGATTTTAATGGAGAAAACTTCATGTTTTGGTAGGTTTAATGATTCAATCATCAAAGGGAGTGAATTGAGAAGAAAATTGGATAATTATTGATGATTTGAAGAAGTTTAAAGAAGACATGAAGTGTAAAATATTCAAAAGAAGAAATGCAAGTGAAGACAGTTTTGACACCTTGTGGTATTTTGACAATATCTTGAGCTACAAGCATCAGATTAGGATGATTCTTATACCATTTTGAACCTAAGAGATTGAAGTCCAGTTACTCACAAAAAAAAAATGGATTGCAAGAATACGCAACTGTTTCCATTGATCGCGTTTTCATTTCTACAAAGTTTAAGCAGAAAACGAGATTTCAAGTTGCGTATTCATAAAATCGTGTTTTCAATTTTGCATGAATAAAGCAGAATACCCGACTGCAATACACGACTTCATGTCGCGTATTCTTGAAGTCACGTTTTCAATCCTGCAAGAAGTGCGAAGAAAACACAACTTAATAAAACGTAAGTTGAAGTCGCGTTTTGTGAAGTCGCGTATTCTTCCCCTGATACAAAACCCTAAAACGCGACTTCCCTTTGCAGATCTCTTCTTCTTCATTCTTCTCCAGCCGCGTTTTTTCTCATCTCAACACTCACACCTTCACAAAATTCCATTTTTACTCCATTTTCTTGCTAGAAAATATCAACCCATCATCATTTAGTCTTCATAATATCTTTTTAACCGATTGGAATCCAAGAAAAACAAGTTAAAATCGGGTTTTAAGAAATTTGGGGTTAGGGTTTGTAGTTCTTAAATTCATCAATTGGAGGTCAATTGGAGTGATTTTCATAGGGCTTTTTGCATAATCGTCATCTTCAAACATCACTTTTTGCATTTGAGGTAAGTTTCTTCATCAAATTTTTGTATTTTAGAAGTTGGTATTTTTCAGTTTTCTCAGTTTTCTGATATCTTCTAATTTTGAATTTTTGATTATGTTTATTGAAGGTTTTAGCCTCCACTATGATTATTTAGATTGTTTAAGCATGTTTACACGTTGAAATGTAGCAAGTTGATGGATTATTAGTTCTTTAAATTTTGAATTTGCTATATTTGGCTAAAATTGAAAATTTAGTTTGGAATGTTGTTGAGCCATTTGTGATAGATGATTATGATTCAAAATAGTTAATTGATATTGTTTTATCATGTGCATTGTGTATAGAGAGCGATTTGATGAATTTTGTGAGTTTTTAGGATGATTTTTGCTTAACCATGTTTATAGCTAAATGTGCATTATTGTTGTTAATTAACGACTGCTATAATCATGATTAGTGCTAATTTCACTGATTGGAATATATTTTGTGCCTATTTTGATAAATTAGTGCTTTAGGGCAATTTTTGACATGTTATATGTCATTTCTCGTATGTCACAATAGTGGTCATTTAAGTATGCTTATTTGATTTCTTATGATATGGAGATATGTCTTTGTGGTCATTTACGTCAATTGGATTTCGTTAGTACCAAGGTTATGAAATATGTATTAGTACATGTGGATAATTGAATCTTTTTTTTTAGGTACTATGGTAAAGGGAAAGCAAGTTGTCTATTCGTCTTCTAGTAGTGACGAAATAGAGATGAGTGAGGATATCGAAAAAAGTGAAGAAGAGGTGTCACCTTTACCTCACCCGGTCAGAAGACGACAAAGGGAGGGCACTTCTCGTAGTGCTGAAGCTGCCGTCTTTGATAGTGCCAAGTTCACCAGTCTTAGGAATCAAGGGTGACACGAGGCGCACGCTAATTTGGAGTTTCTCTTCGAGATGCATATGAGTCCAGAAATTGAAATGGTTTATCGTATCTCGGAGGCGTTTGACCAATTTGGTTGGGCGTCGATTCTCACATTGCCTACTCACTATTACCCTGACTTGATGTGCCAGTTTTACGCCAACATTAATAACAAAGCATGTCACAGTGGTAAAATGGTGGAGTCATGGGTGCATAGGATGCGTATTATTTTATCGCGGGAGCGTTTAGCTGCCATTTGGAATCGTAACAACCAAGGTCGGGCGGTCGACCTGAAGAAGGATTTTGTTGCACCCAATAGGTGGTGGGATCCATCGCACGCCATAAATAGGTTTGATCTTAACTACCAACCTTTTAGGTCTTCGAGGAAGGAGACAATGGTGGCAAGTGTTTTCGAACCTTGCCATCATCTCATTATCTGTATGATGGCACACAACGTCATACCCAAAAAGACGGGTCATACGGAGGTCCGAAAATGTGATATCTATTTTCTTGATTATATGTTTCATAATCGGAAATCCTCCTTCACTCGAATTCCGTTGCCGAAAATCATCACACGGTCTATGGCGAGGCAGCGGACTATTTCGTTCAAATTGGCATTTCCTTGTCTGCTCTCTATGGTGTTCGAACATTTCGATGTTAACTTGCAGGGTGTAAATCGGGAATTTATTAAGCCTAGAACCGAGTTATCGATTTCTTCCCTTCGTCGTCTAGGTATTGGTACGAAGAATATTCCTCAATCTGCTCGAGAAAGGTGACAAAAGGCACGACATGACCGAGTGGAAGCCGGACCTTCTATTGCTGCACCTTCTTCTCCACCATCACAATCGAATTGGCAACGGCTCTTTACTTGCTTGGACAATATCGAGTATCGGTTGGGACAAATGGATACTCATTTGGAGAGGATTGAGTATCACTTAGGCATTCCTCCACCTTATGACAGTGATGAAGATGAAGATGATAATTGAAGTTACACCTCTAGGATGGCTCTTATTTTTGTTTCCTTGTTTTCTTGTCATTTTTTTAACTCTTTTGTCTGTAGGATGTTTAACTTGCACTTTTCCTTTTACATTTCATCTTTTGGATAGTGTTAGTAGATGTTTGTGTTTTGACGAAAGTTCGTGATTCATGGTTGATCTGGATCTCAACTATTACACTGGAGAGTATTTCTTTCTAATTTTTGTTGTTTTTCTTTCCCAACACATTGAGGACAATATGTATTTTAAGTACGGGGGAAAAATGTGTGGTACTTGTGGTATTTTTATGTTTGTTGCTTGGACTTGATGTTTGGAATATGAATTGCACTTAATTGTTGTTAATGTGTGGTACTTGTGGTATTTTTATGTTTGTTGCTTGGACTTGATGTTTGGAATATGAATTGCACTTAATTGTTGTTAATGTTGGGTTGCTAGCAGAAAGTTTCGTCCAATTTTAAGAGGAAACTCTATCAAAATTTTTTCAAAATTTTCAAAATCTTGTCCAAAATTACAAAATTGCTCCCAAAAGTTTCAATTTTTTTCAATTTTATCCAAAGGGCAACAAGTTTCACATCTTTAGTAACTCAAATTCTTTCTATTTTTGAGATATATATATGTGATTTGAAAACTTCTTTTCTTATCTAACTTGGAAATAACTATTATGTGATTATAATTTGTACATTTATTAAAAACTATATCTTGTAAAATGGAGAAAATTATGTCTACATTTTGCATATTTGATGAAATTTCTTTTCTTTACTTGATTTTATAAGTTAAGTGATAAATATGGTCAATAATTGCAAAACTCTTCTCATGATTATTCTTTTGAGGGAATTTTTATTATCTTTCTTCACTAAAAAAAAAAACAAAACAAGAAAAACACAAAAAAAGAATAAGACTTGTTCTACTCCAATGGTTCTTGTATTTAGTAACCGGGAGTTTTTATCAACAAATGTCGACTTTCGAGTAAAACGATACTCGAATTAAGAGTATACGAAGCAACTTGAGTATGTGAAGTGTTGAGTAACAGGCAATCTTCATCTAAAAATGTCAATTTTTGCGTCAAAAGGTACTTTCACAACTTGAGTAATATTTAGCTATATTATATGAATAAATCCCTCTTTAAGTTGAATAAGAAGATGATCATGAGATTATATAACATTTTTATTGACCATATGAGCTACTTGTGACATTGGGTAAAGGTGAGAAATTGAGTTGAACTAGCATAATTATGGTATAATTAGCTCTCCTTTACTTGATATTATGAGTACTTGAAGATTAATGAATGATTGCATAATGGTTGTTTACCTTGATTTTGAGAAAATGAAATTGAATGGTTCACATATGCTTATTTTCAAAATATTGGATCATTGTTGGTTTGTATTTCTTATTGCTTGAAGACTTCATTGTGCAACTCATTTTGTTAAAGAAATAGAAGATTATTGGGAGCTTCTTCACTAAACTTGGCTAAACTTTCTTTATCTATCTTTCACTTGCGATTCAATATGTGTTTATGCAATGAAACCATACTTTTTCTTGTTAAATATTATATGAGTAGCTAAATTTCTAGATCTAAGGAGTAGATGAAACTTATGGCTACTTGATATGAAGTGAAAATGATTTACACTTGTTACACATTGTATTAACTTGTCTATTTATGCATGGTTATCACTTGTTGTTGCTTGATTACTAATAGCAAGCTTTCAGTTGTTATTATTCAATGAAAGTTAGTAATAATGATGGAACAATATAAATAGAGCTTGAATAGCAGACTCATGAGAATAGAGGTATATTTAAGTGGATTAAACTTGCATTTCATGAAAGAACAAGAGTAGATCTAGTTATTTACCATGAGAATAGGAAAAACCAGTCTATTTTAGGCCATTTTATCATGAAAATGAGATTTGGTAATATTGAAAATGAATCCCTAGTTGAACAAGGGTTGTAACAAGAGGTAAATCTGTTTACTTGTATCTTTAATGCCATAAGTGGAACTATATCCCTAAACTCAAGTATTTAGTGAATTTTCTCCATTGTTACCTTGTAAATATCTAGTTAAGACTAGTTAGGTAATAGTAATTATAACCTCTCTTGCTTAAATCGATCATTAGTCTAAATAATAGAGTAACTAAGGATCTAGTACTTGCAAAGTCGCTTTCTGTGGGATCGACCCAATATTTGCCCTAAACTACTAATTTGACCTGTATACTTGCAGTCAAAACGGGTATATTTCGGAGCTAAACTTGTACTTATATCAAAAATCCACCACATACCTTGAGCCATAGCTCGATACTCTACCTCTGCACTACTATGAGCTACAACACTTTGTTTCTTACTTCTCCAAGTAACCAAATTGCCCTATACAAATGTACAATACCCTGAGGTTGATCTTCTATCAATGACTGATCCTTCCCAATCAGCATCTGTATAAGTTTCATTGGTCTTTCAATCTCTCCTTTTAAGAACAATCCCTTTCCTGGAGTACTTTTAAAGTACCTCAGAATTTGATATACTGCATCAAGGTGCTCTTCATACAGAGAGTGCATAAATTGGCTCACAACACTTACTGAAAAGGCTATATCAGGACGAGTGGGAGCCAAGTAAATTAGCTTGCCCACTAACTTTTGGTATCGAGCAATATCAACTGGTGTTCCATCTTTTATATCCGCTAACTTGTGATTCGGATCCATAGGAGTGTCTATAGGTTGACATCCATTCTTCCCTGTTTCCTTTAAAAGATTCAAAACATACTTAGGTTGGGACACAACTATGACCTTCCTGGACCGAGCTACCTCCATCCCTAAGAAATATCCTAATGTTCCCAAATCTTTGATTTCAAAGTTAGAAACAAGACTTTTCTTCAATCGTTCTATCTCAACTAAGTCATCTACTGTGACAAGGATGTCATCCACGTACACAATGAGTACTGCTATCTTCCCTTCTTTGGAGTGTTTAACAAACATAGTGTGATCACTCTGAACTTGGGTATAGCCCTGATCCTTTTTTGACCTGGTAAATTTGTCAAATTAGGTTCTGAGAGATTGTTTGAGACCATATAATGATTTTTTTAACTTGCAAACTCTAGACTGAAACTTCCCTTCAAATCCAGGAGGAGAATTCATGTACACCTCTTCCTCCGAATCTCCATTTAAAAATGCATTCTTTACATCAAGTTGTTGGAGTGGCCAATCAAGGTTTACTACCATTGAGAGAAGCACCCTGATAGTGTTTAATTTTGCCACTGGAGCAAAGGTTTCAAGATAGTTGATCCCAAACGTTTGAGTAAACCCTTTAGCCACTATTCGAGTTTTGTACCGTTTCAATGTCCCATTAGAATTATACTTGATGGTAAAGACCTATTTACACCCTACTGCCTTTTTCCCTTGTGACAGGTTTGTTGCTTTCCATGTTTGATTCTTCTCAAGAGCATACATCTCCTCTTCAATAGCCTTTCTCCACTTTGGAACTTGTAATGCTTCCTGTACATTCTTTGAAATTTTCACAAAAGAAAGTTGTGAAGTAAATGTCAAGAAAGTAGGAGATAACTTTTCATCAGAGACATAGTTAGTCATGTGGTTTTGGTACAAGAATGCACTCTCTTTCGAAGTGCAATAGGAAGATCCAAATCAGCAATCTTTGAATCAGAGGACTCAAACACATCAAATTCTGCCCTAGGTTCGAATTCCTTGTTATGAAGAGAAGGGAGAGCTTTTTCTTTCCCTCAATAATTTTTCCTGACATAGGTTTTCAGATTTTTTTTCAGTTACATTCCCATCTCTTTCACTAAGAGAATTTGACTCTGTTATTGGCACTAAAGACAAGGGATCCTCTTCTAATCCCTGATCAATTTTTTCAAGTTTTTCAAAATCCTTTTGATGGGCAAATTGAAGAGAATCATTTGATTTTTCAGGATTATTATCTTGAAAATATTCTTGTTGAGAAAATTGTGTTGTAGATTCTTTTAAAAAATCAGTAAAATCGATACCTCTATCAACAAAATTTTG